TTCTAGTACTTCTGAGTGCGGAGCGTCCAGTTTTCCTTCAAATCTGTTCGTCAGTACCTTGAAGGTCTAGTACATGAATAGAAACAAATTGATCAACCTGCAATTCTTAAAATTATCCATTTGTCCCCTTTGTGGAGCAGTATCACCGAGTTCAATCGTCTCGAATTTTCCTTTCCTTCAGATAGGCGTGAAAATAAACACGTTAATATCCTGGTCATTGCTTCATCTCCTGATTCCACGAGTTCCACTTTAATGCCGTCTTCACCAGAAGCCCTTCCTTACTTCGTTTGTTTCACTGCAAGATGGACTTTTGTGGCAAGACAGCTGGAGTTTCAAACATTATTCATATCCCCAAACTCTTAATCGTGTCCCAAAGAGTGTTGCTGTTTACAAATTTGTGCAGCTGTCTATAGAAATTTTCTAACTTCCTTAAAATATCTTGTCTTTAATGACAATCGCGTTTTCGGCTTCAAGACCTACAACTTGTCGTTTCCAGACCGTCATTCTGTGATTTAATTTCTTGATGCTTCGGTTGTTTTCAATCGTTTCCTATACAAATCTTCAGCTGAATGTTCAAGCGTCTTCTCTCTTCTCTTATTATTTATTTCCTTACGGTTTTCTAAAGTTCCACGTATTCGATCGTCGATTTCTGATCTGTCACTGTCGTCCTTTCCCTTAGCTAGTTCTTTCATTTGCTTACTGATTTTCGCTGGAACTTCATAATCCTCGTTCGACATGTTTCTGTAACTACTGTGTTTATATTCCGACGCTTTACCTAAATGTGCACTGCTTCTGAAGCTCCTTCTTGAGTTTCGTGAAAAAACGTGAAATCGCTTATACGATGTGAGGCAGAATAGCAGCAGGTTCTTCTGTAATGTTTTTCCCTTAAAGTACCTCTGTCTCGTCGTCAGCCATTTCCTTCTTTCTAAAGCAGAGTCCCGACGTAGTTTGCATCTGACAAGCCTGTGGTCGCTCCCAGTTTTACGCCTGTTCACCACTGAGACATCTTGCACTTTAGCCATTATGTTACAGAGGATGAAATCGATTTCATTCTTGAAATCCTTTGCGCCTTTCCATGTTCATCTGTTGCTTCATTCTTTTTGTTGAAAAAAAAACATATTCATAGTAAATAACTTGTTCTTTTCAACAAACTTCCTTAGTCGGTCACCAAATCGATCCACAGGACATTCGTTATTCTGCTGCGGTCCGAAGTTTGCGTTGAAACTACCAATGATGAACTTGCAATATCTTTTTCATATCATTCACCTCTTCTATTTCTCCACAAATGTCTTCAATCTCTTTATCAGGATGGCTCGATGTCGACGTAAATACTTATACCACTTGGAGTTAATATCAGTTTCAAATTCTCAGGACCAGTCTTGCACACCTCTCCGAAGCTCTTCTATTTGTACTACATTGTTCCTTAACCTACAGTGGATAATGAAACCTACAGTCACTGCATTTTACTTTCCGATCCTCTGAGGAGAAAGAAATGTCTATATTTAAGGTGTAACAGTTCATTTTTCTTTCGATAATTTCGCTGAGTCCTACAATGTCCTAATGATTATCCTAAATTCTTCTTACAGCTCTTGAGACCTTGCTCTACCTTCAATGGATCTGCAGTTGTAAGTTGCCAGCGTTGGTAAGCCGTGGCAGCTCTGATCCGCAACTTAGGTATTCTTAGCATCCAGTCTTCATGTCCGATCAGCAGCAGCCTTCGCGAAAGGCAGCCCTATCTCTGGAGAATGAGGGTCATGATTTTAATTTTGATTTCA